TTTTTATTATTATTTTCACATAGAATTAGAATAAAAAAATAAAATTAAAACCCTCGAATCATACTTTGAATCCTAAATCCAAACCCGTAGACTCTAAATCACAACACCCAAACAACAAAATGCATCACCTAAACTGCAAATCACAACACTTAAACCTCAAATTACAACCCCTAAACTCCATATCGCTACATCTAAATCCCAAATCACAACACTCAAACCCCAAAATCATAACACTTAAATGAAAAGCCAACCTACATCGCCATCAGAGCTTCTGGATGATTTACAGATTTGAATGAGTATGAATTAAGGTTACTGATTCGAGATTTGAAATAATTTTTTTATTTTAAAACACATTAGTATTAAATGTTAATAAAATATGTAATATAATAATAAAAATAATATTAAAATATTCTACGTAATCAGGGAGTGATAACTTTTTTTGAAAGTTTTATGATTAACTTAAATAATTTTAAATTTTGTCACATTTATCCAATTTATTTTAAGTAATGGTGCACCGCGTCAACTCAACCTCACTCGTCTGCCCTTCTTGCTACCCATCCATATTCCACTTATTCCATGTTTCTATATATATAACCGTCTCCCTTTCCTTGTTTCTCCCATTTTTGTTCACCTTGCCTTTTTCCTTCTTTCTAGGTTGCTGCTGCTTCAAGGAATTGCTTCATCTTTTTTTCTTTTCTTTCTGGGTTGTTGATTGCTTTCACTGTTCCGGCTCTAGGTGAGTTCCCCCTTTCTCTTGCTGTACTTTTCTTTTTAAAGTTTTGTGTTTTTTTTTACTGTTGGAGCTTGGGCAATTTATTTCGTGCCCATTTTAGATCTGTCTGCAATTTGATCTCGTATCTCGGTGGTTATTCCTGTGATGGGCTCTGTGCTTTTATTTCTTTGATAATTGAAATAAAGATCGGTTCTTTAAACTTTGATCTATAGCTGGTTAGGTCGTTTGATAATTTTGTATAAACAGGAATTTACTTTTTTAATGAAGAATTTTGACCCTAAAAAATGGTATTAGCAATTAGCTAGCAGGAAAAGAGAGTTGACCCATTTTTTGATCTTCTGTTGAGCACTGCAGAAGAACGTTTGAGCGTTACACGGCGGAGCTTAGCTGATTCTTCATCCCCTAAGAAAAAGACTTTTCGTTCTTAAAGGCAATGGAGATATACGGAAAAACCATGGCTGCTGCCCCTGCAAATGTTATTTATTTGTCTACTATTCTGGGCCGTGATGGTCCTTTTCCTGTTCACAAATGCGATTGGAAATGTCAAAACGAACATGTTTGTGGCAACATGTATCGCTGCAAACTAACAGGGATCACACACATCTGTGACAAGAACTGTAACCAGAGAATTTTGTATGAAACCATGGTTCCCTTTGCCGGGCAAGCGGCCGGTCTTTCCCCTCACTCAAGCTGAGGAACAAGCGGTCAGAGGCGTTAGGAGGAAGCTTGATGGCGACAATACCCCATCCCCTGATACCTGTGGTTTTAAGCGCAGACGTGATGCACAGTTCCATCCTTCTCCTTTCGAGGGATCTTTCTCTGCTGTGAGTCCAATCTGCAGCCAAGTCGGAGATGGCATGGATACAAACTAAGATTAGATTAGAGTTTACGTTACATATAGTATCCTATTATTAACCTTAAAGACTCCTATATCTTGTTTCCCTTTAAGTGTTCCTATTTGCTTCTCATGGGACAAATATGGATAAATGGTAATTGACTTTGATGTTGGTGGACGGTACCTTCCTGTAGGAAAAAGAGCACTTTTATTTCCTATTTTGCCAAATGCTATTTAGTTCCTCTTAGCTTTGGTGTGAAACTTTTGAGTTTAATTTAGTTTCTTTCCAACTCTTCTTATACTTGGATTTATCAACTTTGACAGCTACAGGGTGCTTCTAGGTTCTTAATAGGAGTTGAATTGTTATAATATTCATTTAGCAGTTTCTTGTTTTTATGTGATGATTGTAATTGTTAATCCTTCATTTTCATTTAGTTATTTTATTGAAGATATGCAGTTGTGGATGTATGGTGATTTATCATGGTTTTTAGGTACATTTTGATGTGCTTCTATAGTTACTTTTTTGGTTCACTAGCTGAATGCAGGTTGAAGAGAAATGGCATGGCTATTTGTCATGTGTTCTATATTTTCAAGTTTATTTTACTCTCCTTTTGTACCTGTTAATTTCTTATATAAGATCCTGAAGCATATGTTGATTTTGCAGGGTCAAAAGTGTGCAATTCAGGAAGTTTAAATATGCTTTTGCATTCTTGAGTGGATCTTTTCTTTTTAATTTCTAGGTTTTGTGAATTGAAATGTCCGACTTATTTTCAATCATTCTTATGTAGGTAATTTTTTTCATCGCTTGTGTTGGATGGCGAAACCAATGGAAAGGTGCCGTGTTATGCTTGTGTCCTGCTAGGGACCTCCCGTAGAATGCAAGGTCGTTCAACCTTACTCAAGTCGAACATATTGTTGACATCTTCAAACAGCAACCAGGTAGAATTATTTCTTATGTAATGGCACAGTTTTGCTATTGGAAACTGCTATGTGATGACTTATATCAATCATTTGCCATGTTTTTGCAGCTTTGATGGAGGGAATAAACCAAAGTGGGGCATCTTTCTGCGCGGCTGGTTGTGAACATGAGTTTATGATGTCTGAACATGGTTTACCAACTGAATTTGGAGTTATAGGCAAGTTGATTATTGATTCTCTTACTGTTTAATTGCTTGATTTAAGTTACATGCTGTCATCTCTATGATGAGAATGAAATAACATATCTTTTCAATTCTATTGGATCAGTTGCTTGAAACCTTAGGTCTCTACTTGGAACCAATGAAGAACTGAGACCACCATTTATATGGACCTATGAGAATCAGATTGTGCTTATCAGAAGGCTCGTTTTATTGGGAAATCGGTTTTAGCTGAACTTTGAAATCCTACCATGATGTTTGCTCATCAGATCCCGATAAAACTTGGAACTGCAGCGTAGATTGAATTCTTAGATGTGTATTCTGATAGGTAGTTTTGATTTAGTGTCCTACATTGTTGTTGAATTTTGATCATCATTTGGAGCTACAGTTGGAAACACTCAATCACAACTTCTATCTCCCAATTTCCTCTGCTGAGCATAATTGTAATTTTTGGCCCTAGCAAATGCAGCAAAATTTCTGCTATTGGCTTTATTTATTTAAGTACTGTTTATCCATGCTTGCTATGTTATAAAATTTCTTCAGTAGGTGTTGTGAGAAAATTAGGTACCACTATAGTTTAAATGACTTAAGATATCAATGATTATTTTGGATCAAAATCCGGATTTTATGCCATTTCACAAGGATATGTTTTGATCAAAATTATTCCACATTTTATGTGATCTATTGCGCTGTACGTAGGATCATGCGTGCCATGAAGGGACTACTTTCTAGTCTAAGTTCAACGTTTTAACTCCTTTTGTTTCAAAGATTAAAAGAAAATTGAATAAAAAACATAAAGTACACAAATCATCTCTCGATTATAGGAGATAAAATAAACCTCTGACAATAGAAAGTTGCTTTGTTGAGTCCATCGACTACTAAAAGTTATAGAATGATCATATGATTATTCATTATGTTTTACATTCGTCTTTTTCTTTTAAAAAATTAACAGTCGTCTGAGCTAGACGTTAACATGTTGACTGAGATATGATATTCGTTTGAGATTATGAGATTAAATTTATCATATTTCAGTAAGCAGGTTAGCCTCTAGGTCAGACCGTCGTTATTTTTTTTAACAAAAAAGATAAGTTTAGAACATAATGAATATTTAAGTGATTATTTTGTAACTTTTAATAGTTGAGTGACTTAACAAAGTATCTTCTCATAATCGAAGGATCGTTTTATAAATTTTAATAATAAGAGACTTAACCTATATTTAAGAGAAGAGACCATTTATGTATTGTACACTGAAATAATTGATGAAAATTATACATTTTGACTCAGGTATTTTAATATCAATTTTCTCTCTTTTCCTTGTTGTCGTTAGTCTCTTTTGTTTTTTCATCTTTATAATTAATGATGACATTAATTTTACTATCAATTGTCGGTATTTTTTATTTTTATTTTTTAATAATTTATTTTTATGATATATTTTTTTTTAATTTTATGACACGTTTTTGGTTGTTTGATCATTATTTTTGTTTATTTTTTTTTCTCATAATTGAATTTAACATCGCCATGACTGATGAAGACAATATTTATTCCCTACTTTAGTCTATAAGATTAAATTTGGATACACGATTTTCGTTTCTGCATAGTTTTCTCACGTCGTTTAATTTTTCTTTGCGGTTCATCAATGGTCTTTCAATAGTTTAATTCCTTTGTAGTTCATTTGTTGATACAGTCAAATCTATTCGCATCTGTCTTTTATTCGAGTTTAATTGATTAAAATTCTTAATATTTTTCTTGTATGACTCTTGTATAATTTTAAGTCGTTAATTTTTTGTATTATTAATTATAAGAAAACATTTTTTTATACGTTTAGTTTACCGTTGTAGTGTTAAATCTTTATTATAATTTAGATATTTTTTTATTTTTAATAAAATTACACATTTTATCTTATGAAAAAAACACTATAAGTTGAAACTTTCGAGAGTAAACCAATAGCATAGTTTATTTAAACATACATTTTGACGGGTTAGAAAAAGGAAAATCAAGAGATATATTTTACATCTTATAAAATTTTGGAAAAGAAAATACAGTTGATTAAATATTATCATTTAAAAGGTTTGCACTTTTTTCTTAACATTTAAACACAAACAAAGAGAAAATCTAAACCAAAAATAATTTTTTTTCTTTTAATAAATAATCAAATAGTTTTAATATAAAATATTTAAAAGTAAAAAGAAATTACGAATTGATTCGGTTGAAAAAATATTAGGGTGGACCTTAGTCCGTGACGGTGCCGTACCAAATATATGTGCATATCTATATCCATTTCCAGCGGCAGCACACCAGCATTCCAGTCTTCACTTCTATCCTTTGGAGCATCAGATTCTATTAAAAAAATCTTAAGGAAATGGACCGAGGAAAAGTGCAAGGAATGATGGTGATGCCACAAAAAAACCCACTTGAACAGTTGCAAGCAAAGTTCAAGGAAGTGGAGAACAATTTCAGGGGATGGCTAGCCAAGCAGTCCTTACCCGTCGAGGCCGCCGTGGTAACGACCACTAGCGCGGCTCAGGGTGCTGCTATCGGTGCTTTCATGGGTACCCTCACCAACGATGTCTCCTCTTCTCTTCCAACCCCTCCTCAAGCTTCCCTCGACCCTCAGGCCGTGGCTTCTCTCAAGCAAGCTCAGGTCTTTCTCTTGATTTCCCTCTTGTTTATCACCTCCATATTTGCAGAAGTGTAATTACCACCGAAGGATTTTTACTTGATTAATGAAGCTTGTAGTTGTTTTACAAAGAATTTCTCTCTAACTGCATAGAATTGTTGATGGGTGTGGATTTTTTTTATATATGATATATGTTTACTTGATTGCAGGCTCTATCAGGAGGTCCCTTGGTACAAGCTCGAAATTTTGCCGTGATGACTGGTGTCAACGCAGGCATATCCTGTGTTATGAAAAGACTGAGAGGGAAGGAAGATGTCCAATCTAGGTTAACCTTTTCATCACCGTTTTCTTTTATCTCCATTGATTTCTTTCTGTTGTTTTGTAGCTAGAGGATATTGCAACTGGTCATAGTTTCATAGCTTAATAAGCCAATAAAAGATACCAGTTGTTGACTGCTAGAAAGGACTTGTTTTAACCGGTAACAGTTGAAAGGGAGATGACTTGAATATATTATTGAGTTTTTAGGGAGATATCAAATTTTGAAGCTTTTTTCATGTTGAACTAGCATTTTTCCATATCAATTTTGAAGAGTTTCTTTGTCCTAAAAAAAATGCACTCGTTTTCTTTTCACATTTGCTTTTCTAGATTCGACCTCCCTCACTTTTATGTCATGCTTTCCAGGGGGTAATCTGCTTTCTGTATCTCCACTCAGCTCATCATAAATTAGAATTGCTATATTATGTGGAGAGCACTATTGGATAGTTATGTGTGACTATCAGAAGATTGTATAGATGAACCAAACTTGTTTCTGAATAAAGAATTGTTGGCTTCGTCTTTTTTCATCTTGTATCGGATGATCGTTATACTTCAGGTTTACACGGTTGTGTAAGATAAAAATACTGTTATGTTGCAGCATGGTGGCAGCTTTCGGTTCTGGAGCCATGTTTTCCTTGGTGAGTGGTATGGGTGGCCCAAATCAGATTGCAAATGCTGCTACATCTGGTCTTTTTTTTGCTCTCGTTCAAGGCGGTCTTTTCCAGGTGATTTATTATCTCATTAACCTCTCTGAGATCAATGTATTGTTCAATATCTGGTTATTAATTGTTTCGCTTGCTATGAACATGATGGATCTAGCATAAACCCAAAAGCTGTTACAACATGCTGTGCCAAAACTTTAGAATCAATTGTTCTTTGAGAGTGCCTATATCCATGAGCTTAAACTCCCGCTTCCTAAAATTGAATATTCTGAATGAATACTGCTTTGAAATATTGTTATACTAGCCTGCAGCGTCATATCGAACAACCTCTGTTTTGTGATTAATTATACAGTTGGGGCAAAAGTTTTCTCAACCGCCTGCTGAGGATGTGCACTATTCCAGAACACGGTCCATGTTAAGTAGTCTCGGCCTGCAGAACTACGAGAAGAATTTCAAGAAAGGCTTGTTAACTGATACCACATTACCTTTGCTCACGGATAGGCAAGCAGATGGATTGTCTTGATTCAACTTTGGTATTAATATTTAATGAACTGAGTAGATGTGCTCTGACATTTAAATCACGTTGTGTTTCAGTGCACTTAGAGATGTAAAAATACCACCCGGACCCAGGCTCCTTATTCTTGATCATATTCAGAGGTTCGATTTTATCTTCCATGTATGGTAATTGTATATTGCCCTTGACCACCGGAGCCTTTCTCACCTTCTGGTCTAATATTTGTCTTTAGGGACCCAGAGTTGAAAGAGAAGCAAGGGCGACGAAGACGGTGAGCGTATATCGTGCCTTCTCCACTGAAATGAATTATCCTTTTTTATTTCTTGCTTTTCTGAGCATCCAATTTGGATGAACATGGTTGTTTAGAATTCTTTAGACAAGTTTTCTGTAGCTTTAATTTATTAAGTAGTTTCAATTGTTGTTATAAAGATGCCATATGCATTAGCTTGAGACATGAGTGAAGTTATTGTGGTATGTTTATCTTATCAATCTTAGAATCAAATTAAAGTCTTGTGCCATTGGTCATTGTTTACTACTGTAGGCTGCCATTATCAATGGCGGTTGGATCTTAAAATTTAACCTAATTTTTTGTCGCACGAATCAAGCGACCTTGATGGTAAAGGAATTATTATTATTCTTTGAGGTCTCAGGTTTGAGCATATAGAATGTCAAGGGCATATGAGTGTATAATGTCAAGGTTGAGAATTATCTTTAAACAAATATTATATTGTACTTACTCCAGATTAATCAAAATGATGTATATTTTATAAGAAAAAAATCTCGATATAAACTTTTATTAATAAAATATTATTAAATAATCAAATACTTCTGTATCTTAGTTATTTACAAAAGATAATCAATAACAAGTTAGCATATGCTTTAATTTTAGTTTACCAATTTATGAAAATTTTGTACTGTACTGGAAAATTTATAAAAGATTATGTTTACTTTATTAAAATAGAAATCAATAGTATCAAAAAGATTATTAACTCGAAACGAATCGACAAAGGCAATATATGTGTTGTGATATATTAAAAAAATAGGGCTAGCAATAGTAGTAAAGCGGTAGCACAATATTTGAACTCGAAATCGAAATTAATGATTAAGCCTGAACTGTTTCAAAATTGAAATATTTAATTAAATAAAATTTAAACATCAAATTATACCTTAAAATCCCACATCAATATATATATATATATATATTCATCAATTCCCGCTAAAAGAATGAACTCGTTTTACCTTTCTTTTCCATCTACCCCACGATATATTATATGGTTATAGATTCAAAGTAAATGCCTTCTTTTCCCACCTACCATCTCTTTCTCCAATATACATTATATAGTTAGAGATTAAATGCCAGATTTTTATTCATCATTTATATCATATGGTAAATTAATAATGTTATTATATTCAATGCATTGAATAGATAAAGATGAGTAACTTGATCATTCAGTTAAATATGAAGTGTGAGATAAGAGAACGGGCTATATAGAGTTTTAAATAATCCAACGGCTCATAGTTGAGGATCTGGATCTACTACACTGAAATGATGCGAGTAAATGGCATTGTCAAGTTGTAGGTGAAAAATAATCAAGTACACCCTCGACTTTTCTTAAACTCATCTTGCTACATCACTCTGGTTTACCAAACTTTTTAATTTCTCATTAATTTACTCATTTATTAAGTAAACGACATTACCATATAAGATTATATATCAAGCATTCTTTTTCTTTCTGCTATATAGGTAGTAGGCATTAGTATATTTTTACCAAATTCCAGGTATAATACGAGTAGCTCAAATGCATACTGGAAGACTTGGAAGTGAAACATGGATATGGAACAACTTGACCCAAATTTAGCCAACAAAACTCTGTGGCTAAACCCAGAGGAAGAGGACGAGGTGGGCGTGGACCTTTTAGCAAGGCGTTCCAGCTCAAGGCATCCACCCAATGGAGTCGGAGCTACTGCTACTACTGCAGCAGGTGAGCCTGCCCTTCAAATTCCCGAACAACCAGTGGAAGAGAAAGAAGATGCACCAGTAACATATGGCGGTCAACCAAACGAGGAGGTGGGCGTTGGAAACAACGTTTACTTTGACAAGGTCCAAGGTACCCAATTTTCTCAACCATTCTCACTACGTTTAGCACTTAGCATCGTATACACAACGTTTAGTTCGTTTTCCTTTTCTTTACTGTGTGATCCCATTGAATCTCTTCTCCTTCACCTGTTTAGTTTTTTACCTTCTTCAATGTTAACCCTTTTTGCTCGCTGCTCCGTTTATACCAAAAACAAGGATGCCTTGCCCTGTTTAGTTCTTTTGTTTCGTTCATTTCTGGCTGGCAAATTCCTCTCAAGTTCTGTTGTGTTTAAATATGTTCATACTTCACTTTCCATCTATAAAAATGCGAGTTTCGGTTTATGTTCTAATATTCCATTTATTAGTTGCATGACAAAGAGTTTTGCTTCATGGATGTAGGCACTGAATCCATCAATGAAACTAATGGAATGCAATCTGAAATTATAAAAATCCCGAGCACCGAAACCAATCGTCAAACGATGAAAATTTCTGAGGATAAGAAAGATTTTGGTCAGCACCAGCTGAACATGTACATGAAGCAAATGGAAGTGTCAAGAGTTTTGAGAATGAAACCAAAGTAGAGGACAATGTTGACTTGATCGAAGAAATCGAAGAGGATTTGATGGAATTCGATGTTGAAAGGGTTTTAGATAAACAAAATACACATGATTTGTATTGTCCAAAGTGCAGTTCCTGCATCACAAAAAGGGTTATACTTATTAGAAGAAGGCCAAAAGTTTCAATACGCCACAAACCGAACCGTGGCAGCAAGCTGGATCCTGTTCCTAATTCTGCTGGTTTTGGTGGAAGTGATGACACACCTGAAATACATTCAGATGTAATTGCAGCAGCAACACCAGATGAGCAAAACGATAGTAGTGAACGAGATCAAAAACAGGAACAAGAAGCATTCAGCTGCTTATCATGCTTCAGCCTTTTCATTCCTTTAGGTATTCGGTTACTTGTCTCATAGTCGTCTAATTATCTTACTGATCATTAGAGCAGAAGCAACTCTATGCATACAGTACTAACCTGACATGCATGCAAATTTTAAATCATTACTGTTTAGGGTGTTATATGGCCATGGAACCTCATTTCATTCTTTAAATCTTGAAGGGAATGGTTGTTTCAAGATCTTTCAGTTCTTCAGATGGGGGAGACAGACTGAACTCCCACAAAGTACGCTAGAAATACGACAGAGGGAAAATACACAAAGACCACCTGAGATAAGGCAGAGGGAAGACACAGGAAGTGCCCAAGGAACAAACCTGAGTGAACACACAAAGTCCTCAAGTGATAAGCCCGGAGGGGAAAATACAAAGCCCTCAAGTTATAATCCAGAATGGAAACACAGAAACTCCTCAACACGTAAGCCACAACGAAGACACACAAAGTCCAGAAAAGATAAGCCACAATCTGGACATCAGTAGTCCTCGACATATAAACCATATTGAAGAAGCACAAAAACCTCAAGAGATAAACTGGAATGAAGATGCACAAAGTCCTCAAAAGAAAAGCTGTGATGCAAACATGAGTAGTTTTCAAAATATAAATCATAATGAAGATGCACAAAAAGCTCAACCTATAAGGTGGAATGAAAATAAACAAAGTCCTCAAAACCAGAACAACAGCAAGCAAAGTCCTCAAAATATAACTACAGAGAGAACAAATTGGATTTTTTCAATTTTTGCTTCTCATAAGCGCAAAGAAACAGCTAAGAAAGGTATGGTCAACTTTAAAATCATTAAAAGATGAAATTCTGTTATGGCTATTTGCCCATTAATCTTTGCATGTTATTGCTTACCTTTTTTTTCTTTGTACGGAGTTCGTAGTTGCTTAGAAGGTTTCAGATTGCCTAGGAACTTTTGTGTTAAGATTTTCCTCTCCGGTTCTATTTGTTTGTCTCAGTAAAGTCTTTTTAAACGAGTTGAAGTGGGTCCTTTCAAGTATATTTCATGTGCAAGCTCTCTGTTAGACTGTTAAAACTTTGTTTCAAAGGGAAGTTCTCATTGATTAATCTCGAAATTTAATCCCTTAACTATCGTGGTTGTCACCATCATTTTATTCTTACTAATAGCACTCTATTTGTGCCTGACATGGAATATTAGAATCTTCTCCGGTTCAAGCTTATCATGCCATATCAGTACAAAGTGCTGCAGTGCCATCCCCTTCACTTTTCAACAAGGGATATATTGATGGTACAGCTATAAAACCCAAAGAACCTGGAATAAGTAATATATTTTCTTCAACAAACAGCTCTATTGTTGACAAGCTGAAAGCTGACTCTACTGAGCAGAAGCCAGATATTGACTTGTTTCAGAGAAACGTTGGTATGTGCATATTTGTAGTGCTGCGTTTCTATAAGATAATTTTACTGCTAAGCATCCTTTTCAAACTCGCTTTATGCAGAAGTGACATCAAATTCACTTGATGGAACCTGCTCTTTTTCAACATATGAAGCATAAATTTTTAGCTCAATGTTTTTCATATCAATCTTATGTTTTCAATTCATACATAAATTTTGTTCTTGCTTGCTCTTATAGCGGTACCAATTCACACAATGCCTATGCCCCTTAATTGAATGTCTAACTCCCTAACATCTTTCTTTGAAACTGAAAAATATTGCTTTCCCGCATGCATTGACTCGTATACTTGGTTTCTGTTGTAATGCAATGTGTCGAATGTTAGATTCGTTAAGTCCCAACTTTTCGGCATTGTCTGCCATTGCAATATGATGCAGGTAACAATGAGATAAAGGATTTTGAAACTGGCCTACTTGACTCAACATTGCAGTCGGGGACGGATGTGGCACCTTTGTCTCAAAGAATAACAGAAACTGAACGTAGAGGTTCTGGTGCTGGTGAAATTCATGACTGGGAAATTCTGAAAAGCATTGTCTACGGTGGATTAGTTGAATCAATCACAAGTTTAGGGGTTGTATCTTCTGCAGCTGGTGCGGGTGCCAATACATGTAAGTTTTCTCCCTTTTCCCCTTCTCTAGATGACATCAAATGGTTTCAGTAGGTGCATATTTTGCCATATTTTCTCGTCCCTGAAATATGACTAATATATGTATATATATGAAGCACTTCCAGTAAAAGATTTTTGGTTGATGTATTTCCTTGCTTAGAGAGTAAAGAACAACATTTTTTTACGAAGGGAACGAACAACTTGAAACTTTATAATGATTCTGCTTCCTTGCATGCATCATATGCATTACGCCAAGTTTTTGTTTTCATATTGCAGTGAATATTTTGGCTTTGGGAGTGGCAAATCTGATTGGAGGAGTTATCATCATTTTTCATAATGTGAGTTATTGTCCTATCAAAAAAAAAATAATAATAATAATGTGAGTTATTGTCCCCCTTGTAGTCTATATC